CTGTACAACGACTTTATATATATATATATATATATATATTACATTGCTTACAACATAATTATGATTAAATACGATTAAAATATATAATAGTTAAGTAAATTGTAGAGGATCGTTCGTATAATTGCCTCGATATTATAAATTTATTATAAATGTAAAAATTAATTATAATTCATCAGTTTTCAAGTATAAGTTTGGAAAATAATATTTTGTGTATAGATGTATAGAAGTTGTATTTGTGATTAATCAAGAAATAATTAATTATTATGCTGAATCAATAATTAAGAAAAATTAAAATTTTTCTGGCTCATTGATAGATATTGCTTGATATCACGTAACATCTGCTAATGAGTACATAGATATTCTATCGGTAATTACTTTATCGTTTAGAAGATGTTCCAGAGTTATATAAAATTGCTTATAATTTAAAGGATAAACCTCGATTCAAAATTTATACGTTAATTTCTATTTTTATTTTTTTGTTTTTAACGTTTAAAATCAATTTTTCGAAAAGTCCTTTACGTGTATACTTTACGATTCTTATCAAAATAGAACTGGAATCAATATCCTATATCTATATTAATGAAAAGGTCAACGAATAATCTTAAAGTTAATCCTCTAGATCATTGTTAAATATTTTGTCGACGATAATTTATGAATGAAATTATATTTGTTTTCTTTTAAATATTTGTTTAAATTGTTGTTTAATATTTATATTAATACCGTGTAATTCAACGTATGATATTAATAACAAATATCTCGCGTAACATTAAGCTTGAACGTTATAATTATAAATCGATATGATGGGATTTTTTGTTAGGTTTAAGATAATTTCTTCCAACGTGAAGAAATGCAGTAAAAATCTATAAGATATTAGAATTGTTATATTTCAACGTAATATTTTTCCTTATAATTTTTTCTCTAAAAAAATTTAATTCCAACAAAAATATAATCTATTTATTTGCTACGATTATTCGAACATGAGAATTCATTTCTTATTAGATGTTTAAATTTTATAAGAAATGATGACGCTAACGGTAATTAATTAAATATTATAATTAATTAATTAAACAGTAATTGATTAAATATTTCTAGACTTCGAATATATATTTCTAGACTTTGAAATATAAAAATTATAATAATGAAAATATCTTAAAATATTTTCAATAATTAAATTCATTAAATTCATTTAAATTCTTATAATATAAATATATAATAATGAAATAACTAGATATTTTTAAAACATTATTTGATTTTCATTATTTTTAAAACATTTTCATATACGATATTTAAATAATGATTCATGTTTGATTATAGTTAAAAGATAAATCAAACAATTTTTTTCTCATTTATTTTTGTATCTAAAACACTGAAGAATATTAAAATGGATAATAAAACATTATATACATTATTAACAGAATTCAATCGATTAATATGATAAAATATATAGATCATTTCATTGATAAATCTTTGATTTCTTAGAAATGTTTTTTATAAAGAAGTAAAAATTAAAAATTTATAGAAGCAAAACTAGAATATAATAATTATATAAGCTTAATCCAATTAATTATTAATTATATTATTAATAATATAACTTTTATATTATTATTTATACAAAAATTCCTACTATTCCTACTATTATTCAGATAATGAATTCTTCTCTTTCGTGCATTGAATTTCAATATCATCATATCATTATTATCAAATTGTAAAGTTTAAAATATACGTTCAATTTTCAAGAATTCATCTGTAAAATAAAAATAATCATCAAACTAGGTCAAGAATAATATGTTTAAAGATTTGTCAGCTATAAAAATTCTTTTTTTGGATGAATCTTGGCATGACGCATTCATATACTTCACAAATATGTACACAGATTTTTCATAGATTTCTGATCTATGCCGGAAATGTAATAAAAGATAGGTAAATGGATATGAATATACTATCGTAATAATTGGAAAACATATTGTTATATATGTTATATTTAATATTAGATATTAATATATTTTATGTATCGTATATATGTTGCGAATATTTTATATGCATAAATTTCAAATAAATGAATTCTAATTGATCGTGACAAAAAAAAAAGAAAAATATCTGAGATGATATCACTGGTATTCATAATATATTTTCATCATCATTGAATTTAATTAATCCATCAAGAAAATAATATATAAATATTATAAACATTAAGATTATAGAATTTGAATTATTGAAATAATATTCCAATTTGAATCTAAATAATAATTATAAATTTACGCTTATTTTAATTTTATTGCTTATTTCTTTTATTAATTTTATAAATATTATTATATTTATATTGAATAATTAAAAATTCTTCATCAAATTTAACATTATGGAAATTAGAAAATTAACATTACACTAATGTATCTTTGCTTTTCGTACATGTGTAGTGAACATGTTAGAGAGAAATATCCTTTTTTTTAATTTTTTTCCAATTCGATTTTTCATTTTTTTTTTAATTATTAAATTTTTGCATTAATCTGATTTCCTTTACTTAATCCATTTTAAATATACAATTAAATTATTTAATTCGTTCATTACATTACATAAATTTATTTTTATTTTTAAATACGATAAATAAATTATATGGAAACAATCTCATGATTAGATATGTTGGATAGTTATTTATCTTAATATAGAATGTTATGAAATGATTGAATGAATTGAAAATATGTGGATTGTTCTTAGTGCACATATTTAAATCCAATTTTACCATAAAGAGAATCTGTAAATTTAATTTAGAGATAAAATTGTATTGAAACTAAAGGTTAAAACATTTTATAAATCTGATCTTTACGCGCTTTTAGTAATGATTTATTCATTAAAAGAATAGTTTTTGAAAAATTTAATTCTTTAAAAAATAATAATTCTTTTATTGTAAACAATTTTTTATTCGATAGGATTTTCAAGGCTTTTATATTTTATCACAACAAGTTTTTTGATTTTTAAAAAATTACGTATATAATATTTGCGTCTAATAAGTTTATAAAAATAAAATATGTTTGATTAATTAAATTAGAAAAAATATTAAAGAAATTGATCTTTATTAAAAAATTATTACAATAAAGTTATATTACATACAAATGTTAAATGTATATAAATAAATATGTAAAAGAAAAGAAAATTACAAACAATCAAATGCAAAAACAAATCTTGCATTTTAATTTGCAATTACACAAGATCAGTTGATGTCATGATAAAATATCTGTGTTAAGATTATGTGAGTTTGCATTAAAACGATTTTTTATATCGATATTATTATATACATCGAGATTTTAATTGATCACAATCATAATATTTTACAATTACTAATATTATTTATTTTTATTAATTAATAATATTTGTAATTTATAGTATTGAATTTATAATTTCGATATAAAAATAATAAAAAAATTAAATAAATATTCTAAAAGTTTGCGTAAAAATATACATCACAGCCAATATTAATAATATGATATATATTCAAAGAAATTTGCAGAATATATTCAAAGAAATTTTCATTTAAATTGATACTAGAATGATACTTATGATATGATTTTTTTTGATTTTTGACACGAATCAAAAATATATCATAAATATTATCCAAAGCACATAATTCTTCAATAATATTATTAACAATTCATTTAGAGAAACTATTATCCATTATTATTATTTTTTTATTATCTTTTTTTTTGCGTTTGCTCTTGCTCTTCATTTAAACTCTCGTTTAGCTAAATTTAATAATTAATTTTTATTCATTTAATAGATAATAATTAGAAAATATAGATATGAAATATATACCTTAGTAATATCCGAAATGGATAATATATTAGATAGATTTTCAGAGAGATTTTCAATATCAAAATTGTAGAGTTCTTCTGAATCAATTTTCAAAAGATTCGAATCAAAATCGCATTCTAAGCTATCCATATCTAAAATATTT